CTAGAAGACAGAACAATTGGAATGTGGAGAAAGGCATTAAAAACATTGATTTAGTGAAAATGACCAATGAAGAGAAAGGTAATTCTTCCTCTGCAAGTGTGTGAAAACCAAAAATCAATTAAGTGCTAAAAGGTCAATTACCAGATACCAGTCCCTGGTCTTCTTATGAACCACAAACATATGAGAGTAAAAACAAGAGAGGGGTTGTGAACCATTCTCAATGGAATGTTTTAGATCTGATGCCTCTTCCATCGAAACATTGAAGACAGACAGGATTAGTGGGAAGACAAAAAGAGACTGGTTAAAACTGTAGAGGGGAAGAGATGTGGAGAGACAACCCATGTGCCATCAAATAACTTTGCACAAAGACAGAATCCCAGGGTCCCAAACTGACCAGCTGAGCAGGTAGATGGGGGATTGGTTGAGGAGGAAAGTTGCAAAGTAGGAACAGAAAGGCAAGGGGTAGATGGACCAGGGCAAGGATCAAAAGTAGCAGGATGAGGTTGAGATAGACAGGAAACCAAAGAAGTCAGAGAGGATTGGTACCAAGCAGCTTCAGCCCAGACTCCAATAAAACAGGAACACCACCATAAACCTATGGACAACGATAGGGGGCAAGGCAAAGGTTGCAGAAAAAGGAGGTAGGGAGATTAACTTAAGAAAGGAAGGTAATCCTACCCAATAAGTCCTAACAATATAGGAACAAGGTCATTAGGACAATGGCATAAGAGGTGGAATTGATCAAAGTTTAAAAAAAAGGGGGGAACGAGTTACTCCTGAAAAATTATCTGGGGTGCCTCAGACATGAGGTTTATAGAGGAGAGGTAGTAAAGGAGGGTAGTAAAAAATATACAGAGACAATAAAATTTGGCACTGGAAAGGGAAATGGGAGATACGGAGTCTGCTCCCCATACAGGTAAGAGTGATTCTAAAAACTGGAAGTCGAGAAATGAGAAAATGGAATGGTTGAAATCAGAAACATAAGAATCGGTTAAATGAGAAGGGCGAAACATAAAACTGCATGTACAAAGTTGATCAAGGATCAAATCAGTATGTACTGTAATATCAGGAGAGGAAGGAAATACAAAATAATCAAGAGGATTAGGGTTATGGAGTAGAGATTGTGAAATGTCATAAGAAACAGGAGAAAGAGAAAGAATAATACATACCTGAGACACTAAGTCTTGGAAAGGAGAGGAAAAGTTTGAGAACTGTCTTCACCAGGCAAAATCAGGAGGAAGAAAAAGGTGATCAACTTCGACCTCTTCAGTCTCAATTTCAAATTGACAGGAAGGGATGGGAGCTGAAGGCCCATGCTACATGATGGATCCCAGAACTTGTTAACCTATGGCTTTCATGTCTTCCATAGTTAAGGAACTTCCAGAAGTTATGGTTGAAGCACTTTCTGTGTGAATAAATTCTTCACTCATGCAAGAACTAGCTAAAGTCACATTAAATTGAAAGTACATAACAAATTAAGTACAATGAGACACAAATCTTAGCAAATTAAAACATATCTATGTCTTACAGCACTGAGGAAAAGAATGAAGTTCAAAAGTACAAATGTAAAGTTAGAATTATTGTGCATGGAAGTGTGTTACTCTCCTATTGGTGGAGGGCTTTTGTCACATGATGACATCTTCATGCAGTAGCACAATTCAAGTGAAATTAGGTGGAAGTTGTCTCAAACCTAGTGGCATACAAATTCCTCTGGCGGATGCACAAGTAAGATAGCTAAACTGTGTGTGGAGATGAGTTATTGTCTCAGAAAAACAATTTTACATACATTATTAATATAATAGCATTTATCCATCAGGTAAAACATCATAAGGTCAACATAATCTTTCCTAATATCCATACACAACATTATAAGATTACACAAATAATAATCATATAAATAGTGGTGAAAGAAATACCTTTCTTTAAAATGATTATATCCTACAAACCTACTTGCCATACAGGAATTAGTTTCACCACAAACACAAAGACCACAAGTTTTATTCAGGAAAACTTGACCACGATGTAGGATGTTTCACATGGAGTGTTCAATACATTTTTAATTGATCTCAATCAGCATATCAAGCCTACTACTAAATGAAGCTACTGGAAGCATTACCTATTCTGGTCAGTGTTCATTGATCCTCACAATTTCATTTTTAATCCTAAAACACCAGTGTGGCTAGTTTAGTATATATAGGTTTAACTTATGGGGTCATAGTGACCCCATGCTGGTGTTCTAGGGTTAATGGCTGTTTTCAAATCCTCAATGTTTTGTAAATTAATCTGATATGCATTCCTTTTTTACAAACATTACAGCAAATTAGCTGCTGGTGCAATGTCTGGGAATCTCACTAGCCAGGAAGTTAGCATCCTTTTTCTCTTTGGAATTGCCTTCTGACCAAAGTAAAACAGTCATTATTTTGATAGCATATTCAAACAATAGTTACCCAATCCTGCATGTACACTGATATGTATTTTATTAATCATCCTTGCATTACTGAAAGTCACAAAAAGAAAAGAAATAATGTTAATCTGCAAATAAGCAATTTGAAAATACAGAATTATAAGGCTTTAAAACAATCTGCACATTTCCAAATTTTCCTGAATAAAACATGATTTTGTATGTCCTTCAGGTAAATTTTGTTCCCCTAGGACAAGCTGTTTTTAAAACATAATCATTTTAAATTTTGGGTTTTCTTTATAATCATCCTGCAGTACATGAACATCAAAATACTTTACATCTGATACACCACAGTTAAATCTTCAAAAAACCAATAAACTTACCTGTTCTGAGTAGCAGTAACAAAACACTTAACATTATTAATTTTAAATATTATACACAGCATTTGTTTCTGACTAAGAATTAATTTGTACCAGGTTATAGCAAGTTTTAGAACATGTACAAAACATGGATATTACCTTCCGATTCCAGGACAATCATATGTAATTAAAGAAGTTATGTATTTTATAATTTTGAATCTTTAACTTTCTGAATCTTTTTTAATATATATTTTATATATATTTTAGAATCTTCAGAACATAAAATGGCTTATAATGGTTGTAATGAACAAGATAATAATTTATTCTACATAAAAGAAAAAAAAAGGAACTTATAATGAACAAGACTGCATAAGAGGTTAAGTATCATGCAAAAAATATACATAATAAAAAAACAAAATAAATGATATTCCTATCGAAAGTCATAAATATGTTAAGATTTTTTCTAACCTTATCTACTGTCGCTTCAAGTTAATATTTGTCTCATTGTAGTTGTTTTTTTTTTTCTTTGTTCAGCTTCATAATTCCTCAAATTTAGAACTGGAATATCTGTAACTCAGTCTCCTATATAAATCCTAATCAAATTCATATATTACAACCAAACTCTGTGGAAGATTTTATACCATGGTCTTTGAAATAGAACCAAATCAAATTCACATTTTACCTGACTTGATTCATATCTTAAAACCTAGCTCTATGGACAATTCTGTCCTCTAGTTTCTCATATAAACTTTTGTCAGAACCAACCCATACTAAAAGTTCTGCCCCTTAGTCTCCTGTATAAAATCTAATGAGATACAGTATCTTCAATTTATTAGGAAAACATTATTTAAAAATCACAAACATACCTTGTACAATTACATACAAACTATTTCAAAACATTAAAAACAACACTAACCTGAGAGGGCTCCAACAGCACCAAAGTTTAATGTTCTGCCATCCATGATAGATGCATCACACTCAACTTTTCTACTTAATGAAAGATTAGAGCCACGTCCTGCATTTGTCAGTAGAGAGTTCTTAATAACAAGAAATATATAACCAAGTTTAAAAAAGTATCTTATGAACGAAGTTTGTATGAGCCACAATTATTTATGAAAATTAACTATTTTCAACTTTCACAACTAACGAATAGCAAGCAATATGTAATAAAACTATCAAGTTCTAAGAAAAATTATATCTAGATGCTAAATATTTTCAAGTACAGTTTGAAAATGAACTAATTTCATTCAGTACAACTAAAAAACCAACTGTAGACTCAACAAAATTTTACAAGTATCCTTAAGATAGGCTTTTTGTGTTTAAAAATCTGAACAAACATTTCCATTAATTAATATGCTGTTTAAAGTTAAACACTACTGCCAAAATACTCAGTCAGTAAACATTTTTTTATTCAAAAATAAAATTCTCTTGGTGAATTATAAAAGTATTTGGTAAATGCATTCTTGAAGAGTTGCATAGAGTAATTTAAATTAAACTGAACCAATAAGAGTTCTGAAGAGCTGCATATAGTAATTTAAATAAAATTGAACCAATAAGAGTTCAGTTCATTAATGCACTTTTAAAACTCAACAAAATTCTGTGTGAAATAATGACAAAGAAAAAAATTATAATGCAAAAACAGTACATTATGTTAGCTTTACCTCTAAAGAAACAACAGCTGCAGAAACAGCTTCAACTGCAGAGCAACCATCTTTCAGCATTATTGTTACCTAAAGAGAAATCATTCATTAAAACAGAGATTCTATAAGCTTCCTCAATGATAGCTAGTGTCCATTCTGGTCATAAATGATGTTCCTGATCTCCAAAAACCTTTTCTACTTGGGACATTACTTGATATTCAAAGTCCCAGCAACTGCCTGGACCTGAGATTTAAATGAATCCAAAAAGCAGGATGACAACACAAATTTATGTCCAATTAATTACTTTTTCCCACCACTCTCCACCTTATGTTCCATCAGACAATCTATTACATGTCTAATATATATAAGCATATGTAGTAGCAAGATGTTAATGTATATCTTGTAAACTTTTTATCATTTTGACCTTGCAAGAGCAAGCAGATGGGGACCAAAATCTGTATTATTCTTGGAATCCCAGAAAATACTAAAAGCACTCTTGTTCTCAATTACTTACGAAAATCATGAATCTTTCCTTTCATATTCTAGTCTCTCTCTTTTTTTTTGCTATATCAGCAGTGTTTCCTAACCTTTACAGCAGTGTCCTCTTAAGAAATCACATAGCCCTTATGTCTGAACTTTCTAATGTAATAGAAATATAGGAAGGGTATATTTATTTATTTATATGCATAACAGCTCAAAATAACATAACTTTGGAGAAGGGCAAAGTGAAATAAAAAAAGGTTTAGGAAAATTAGTTTTAGAAAAATATTACATTCAACAAAACCACATCTCAAGTTGTTGAAAACAACTCAACAGTGTATATATGACCTTAATTTAAAATTTCAAAATGGTACTTAACCTTAGTGAAATCCTGGATCATTGAAGAGTAATTAATATTTGAAGTGGTATTAGTAACAGAGTTCAAAAATCATTATGTACATCCATTTGTTTAAGTTTAGGCTTTTTTAATGGTCACAAGTGCAATTAATGCCATTTTTGTTGGATTTCGTCTAGCTCATAGTAACAATCTAAATATTTTACATCTTGGATTGTACTACAAAGAAGATACAAAATCTAAATATCTTTAACAAGGTTCTACACATCAGAAAATCTTCTGTAAGTGCCCAAAGAAAAGATCACATTGAAATATGGACATGGAAACCAGGGTCTAAAATTTGCATCATTTAATTGGCTCAGACTACCTAGGAGACCCATAGACCTACTACAATAGCAAAAAATAAAAATCTAATCAGCCCAGTTGGGCCCAATTAGAATTTCGATAATTTTTCCTATTTTATCTTGTCATCAAACATACATTTTTATACTTTTTTTGAAATATATAGTTGTATTTTTATTTTATGGAAGTATCTTCTTTACTTCAATCTTCCAAATAAAGCTTCTAGTTTCCTGGGGATCCCTGGTCTATTTTTAAACATTATGGGAAATCCCTATGACATCTGAAATGAAAAGGAGGTTCCTGGAACATGTGAATGGAGGGTTTGATCCAAACAAAGTGTGATAAATGTTAACATCTCAGTGGAGAAATAGCTCACCTTTTGACCAGTATTAAAAAGTAATCTCATGTTATTTTCTTTTCATTTATCTGGATTAACATACAGATTATGTACATTCCAAAAATGATATAATCACAAACTGTTGTTTTCAATTAAAGAGTTTTGTTTAATGTTACAAATACATATTAGCAATTGTGCCCTTTAAAAAATTGGTATCTGCAGTTGATAAAAATGGAAGTGGAGTGGACCAGTTAAACCTTATGAAAACCAGTTAGAAATTTTGCAAATTTCAGACCCTAATGGAAAAGACCTGGACACAGAATGTTACTTGATTTTTATAACCACAAAAATTGTTTCCTTTAATAAAAATCTCACTTAAATCTATTTTTAATCCATATGCAAGTATCTAGTCCTTTTTTTTAACCAACTGTTACTGTATGTGTGAACAGTGTCTGAAAACAATATTGAACCTGAAGCATATTATTGATACTATATCAAACTTTCATATCAAAAGGTGTGGAGACTGACATTTCATAAGAGAAAGGGCTTGTTAAAACGAATACATCAGTTCACCAAACTCTGCATATAACTCACATTTTTCATAACCATTATATCAAAAGTTTTCTTTCAAGGTCTGTCTTTCAATGTTTGCTTCCACATCTCTAAAATTAGTTTTGTATCTGCACCTGTTTGAGAATAATTTTATATCTAAACATCCCTTAAACTCTGCATATATCTTGCATTTTCACAACCAAACACACAGACAGCAAGGGAATCATTTTGTCTTTCAATGTTATCATTTCACACTCACCTGAGGACCTTGTTTTGTTTTTTATCAGATAATCATCAAATCTCCTCTTAAACTCTTGTAAAGTGCCAGCCTTCACTACTAATGATGGCAAATCATTCTGCATGTCAATCACTCCTTTATAAAAGTACACATTTTTAAACGAAACCTAGCTTGTCTTTTCCAAATCTTAATATTTTGTCTTTTCATCCTATTGTCTTCAGAATACAGCACAAAGAACTTAGAGGGCTTTATCATATCAGTACCCTGGATAATCTTGTATACTTCAATAAGAACACCTCTTACCCTTCTCTTCCCAAGAGAAAATAAGCTATTTTAACCTGTCCTTATAAGATAACCCTCCTGTCCCCATAATCATTCTTGTAGCTCTCCTCTCAACCCCTTCCAATCACTCAATATCTTTTCTCAGATAAGGAAACAAAACTATACACAATATTTTAAGTAAGCCTAACTAGTAATTTGCATTGAGAGATAATTACCTCTTTCACTTGTAATCAATATTTCTATAAATACAACCTAAAATTCTATGAGATTTATGACTGGCAACAAAGTAGTGCCTTGGTGGCTTAAGTGACTTATCTACTGCTATGCCAAAATCTACTTTTCAGTCATTTTATTGAGTAGGTTCCCACCTGTGTTAGATATGTAATCAAAATTATGATAACCCAATGCATTACCTTGCACTTACTATAATTAAAGGTCATTTTCCAAATATCTTTCAGATTCTGTATTACTTAACATTCTCAATGCAGTAGTAAATACTTAAGAGTGTAATGTCCTCAGGAAACTTTACTAATTTAGTAATTATGCCCTTTTAAGTATCATTAATGTAAAGAGAAAAAACCTAAAGATAAAGTACTGGATCTAAGGCACTTCCCTTGTTACAGGAATCTAGTTTGACTGAATTATCTTAATAATAACATGAAACTGTTATTATTAAGAGCCTCTTAATGGTCTGTCTCGTGCAGTTCAATGCTGTTTGTCCATTTAAGAAAAGAAGGATCTGTAAAATCTTTTCTTTCTCTCATCCAATCATTCTATTGGTTGTTTTTCAAAAGCTTTTCTTTTTTCAGGGTCTGTGTCTATATTTACTGTTTTGCATCCACGTCCATACAATTAGGTTTGTGTACATATCTGTTCCACATTTCAATGTATGTTTGAGTGTCTACTTCCACATCCATGTTTGCATTTCAAAGTAAACCCAAAGAAAGAAGACTGTAGCTTACCCTCATATTTTTTTAAAAAGATGTAAATTGAGTGAGATCTGCTTTCTGAAACTTCATGATTTGTGGCTGCAGATTTTGGAAAAATACATCAGCTGCCTCCATGCACCTTCTTCATTTTATAGGCAGCAATTTATTTGCAGGGAGCTTTACAAAAAAAAAGGAACAATGCAGTAATGATAGGGAAGACGTATCAATGTATAAAAACCTAATATTTATATTTATTTATGTGAGGTCAAAAGCACTTAAACTAAAACAGATTGAGGGTGTTGATCTATGTGGTTAGGATTTGTAACTGTGATTAACAAAGTTACCTTCATTCTAATGAAACTTGCAGATCCCCCCCTCATCCCATCATCTGTCATTGACATCAAGTATAACTATGCACAACTTTTGATTACAAGGAACTTCAATATATCCTAAAGTATATGGAAGTTTTATGCACATTGTAAAGTTAGCATTTCTTCCCTAGTTTCTTCTGTGATGGGTCTTTCTTCAGATCTGAACTATTTCAAAGGAAATTTCAATTAAATAACATGTGTATATAAATTATATTTTTGGAACATGTTACCACAAGCTTGAGTATTCATGTTTATTTTTAAATCCCAGATAAAACCAGAGTTTTAAACTTGTTTGCTGAAACTCAGTTTTACACATTTTATAGCTAAAAAAGCTTTTATCAGTGAAATTCATAACTTATACTACCATACCACATACACAGAAATAATATACACTCATATTTATGTGTGTAAACCTGGGATAATGGAATTAAAAACACAAAATTTATTTATGTAAGGTATTCTACACAGTATTAAACTTAAAGGTACATGCAGGAAGACAGAATCTATCCACTTCTTTGGAAAAATGAACACTGTCCACCCACTATTTTGGGGATGGGGGTGCCATTTTTCATACTCTTAGCCGAACTTTTGTCTTAAATAGTAGTTTCTGGAAGGTCTATATTTTGCTATTTTATCTCCACCATCAATAAAGTTTTTCCTTATGCTTATAAATCGTTGATTGCCTACCTATTATTATTATTATTTTATCTCTGTATTAGATGACCCATACGGTCTACTCACTATTTACTGTAAGAGTCTAACTCTGATTTTACAAGAGATTATAAAAACTGTTAGAACTGTGAATGCACAGCTTACAACTGTAATTCTTTCTATAATTTTTATACTGGTATGACTTGAATGCAAAATAAACTACTTCTAAAGTTTCAAACATAGTAGAATTTAATTATTTCAGAAAAATCTTTTATACATATTTATCATAAAATGTATCTTTATTACATACCTTTTGACATGACTTTTTACACAAGGTCTTGTATGCATGTTTCTTTTCCATGGAATGATGACCAGCACCTTCAAGAAACAGAACACAAATTATAACAAATGTTTTAAAAATCAGGTTTTATGAAATTTTGTTCTTAATACATAAATCATTAATAGTGGAAAAAATGTATACCAAAATATAGTATCTTTACTCTTCAAAGTAATAACAGTATATATATTTTACAACTTGTTTATACTACTGTTTGCAATTTTTCAGAAATGTGTTACTATTATTATTTACAAATAGTTAGTTTAAACATCATCATAAAACATAAAAATTAATACCTATGGACAACAAAGGCCATTTGGTCTTTCAAGACTGTTCTTGCACACCCATCCTTGAGAAAAGTAAAAAAATTTAAATTTCAAGAAATCATGAATTCCCCTCTTTAAGCTTCTGTAAATTGATGGTCTCCTCTACTGCCAAAAGTAGTTTTTCCATAAGTCAACCACCTTGTTAAAAAAATAAAACTGTCTTCACTGTTGTCCTGCCTGTCTTTCCCATACTTTAAACTTGCATCCTCCCCTCCTACTATCTTCAGAATATAGCACATTCCTATCACCCCCTGCCCCCATACACATAATCTTGTAAACTTCTATCAGATCACTGCTTATCATTTGTTTCTCGAAAGAAGATAAATTTAAGGATCTCAACCTATCCTTGTACAACAAGTTCACCATTCCTGGAAACATCCTAGAAGTCTTCCCTTGATCCGTGCCCAATAAGGAGATCAAAGCCATACACAATATTCATGGTGAAGCTTAACTAATTATTTTTAAACTATACCTCATACATGCACTACAAAATGGGAACATTCCTTGGTACCAGCAACTAAGAGACTGGTTCTTAAATGCTAACTGAACCTGTCTCTATAGCTTTAGCTTTTATTACAGTGTACTATCCATAAATCCAGCATTCACATCTTCATCCTTTCATACAACAATTTTTAGCCCAAGTTTATCCAATTCTTGTCTTGCTTCTTTAATTTCTGTTCCTAAGCTGTTATTTTACTCCTCTAATAATGCAATCTTCTCCAAAGCTATTTCTAACTTACCCTCAAGCAAACAAGTTCTGAAAGAGTAGTGTATTGTTTTTTCTGACAGTCACAGCTCTTAAACGTAACACAGTCCTGATCTCTATTGCATCTTATAAATTCTACTCCACCTGTCCTTGAACTACTTCTAACCATTTAAATTTATGTCTTAATTCTCTGTTTTCAATCTACTCACCAAATAATTGTATATTTAACTAAAAGTAAGCTATTTAACATTTATGAGATTAATCTAACACTAAAATCACCTTTTAACTAATACTATTACTTTCTATTATACCACATTTTTAATTAAATTTAACTAACTGATATTTCAAAGTCTCATTCCAATTCTACACAAGAGGTTATCAAAACTGTTAGACCTGTGAATGTACAATTTACAAGTGTACTCTCAGAAAACACAGTACACCCTCTTGAAAACTTGTTTACTTAAAGGTGATTTATATATAACTTTAGAGAAGATTGCATTATTAAAGGGGTGAAATAGCAAATACACTTGTAAGTTGAATGTTCATGGGTTTAACAACATATTCTCTTATTTCTATTTTAAATATCCACAACAGTAAAGGAAAATCTAAAGTTTATTTTAATTGGAAAAAAAAAGAATTAAGAAAATCTTAGATATTAATATACAGTTTTATGGACAACAAGACCCATTTTCCTATTGTATGTATCCCATGCATTTCATCAAACACCAATCTGCCTATATATAGCCCCAACTCCCCAAATATTCATCAAGCCCTCTCCTGAAATCTCCCATTGTAGTATTTGCATATAACAATGATTTCCCATAATGGTGACAAGATAGGTCCACTAAATAACAGGAAATACATTAAAATATTTATTGCAAAATAATTCTGTATTCTCTGATTAACCGAATTAGTGAAAAATATAGAGATACATTTTCCTATCAGGGCTATTGGTATTAATCCTGGTACTCCTAGCCCTGATGAAGCCACAATGGCAAAACATAAGCTGATATAAAATTAATGTTAATAGTATCATCTGGAGAGTAAAAGTATTTATTTTCTAACATTATTGCTAAAATGTTTAAATCTCTCAAGTATGCACTACAAATCGTGTTACCAGCTTTTCAAGGAGGTAGCAAATTCTCACTATTGCCTTAAAAAATTTAAGTCCTCATGTAGGGTTCATTAACCCCAGCCAATTAATAATGGCTCCAATTCTATTAGGCCTGTAATTATATTTGTTTACATAGTTCATTTTGCTTGGAAAGGAATGAAGAATTAAATGTTTCTTCAAAATGTTTATAATTTTTATTCCCTACTTACAGTTGCTTGAACTAATGTGTGCATATAAAGTTTAAGAACATAAGGATTAACTGGATAGGCTAATTGGCAACTTCAACAGACATCTAGGTGAACTCAAGCATACCAGTATCCCTAGCTTCAGAAGTTATTTTATTACTATCATGTACCTTACTTTGATATACAGTGATCAATCTACATAACATTTGCCTTCAGTGAATTCAACAATATTATACCACTTCCCGGTATAAAACTGTGTACTAATATCTTTAACAGTTAAAAATATTTGTATGAATAATGGATCAAAAATAAATTGAAATACTTCAACATTTACATTGGCATAAATAAATATTTTAGGCAGTTAAGCTGTATGGACTATCCAGAACAATAAACATTACAATATAACCATCAAAATATACATGTTCCTAAAGATTTTTATTTCTATAAATATATATGCATATTTCCAAATCAAATACAATGATCAGACATAATACTTATTTTAAATATGCTTTAATTTAATACTAAAATTTTTATTACATCTAACTATCTAAACATTAAACTAAATTAACTTCCTTCTCTTACTAAGATATAAAACCAGAATTGTAAAGCTCCTATACTAGTGATGTCAAAGGGGACAGAATGTAACAGAAAAAATAATAATGAACTCATAAGCATAATAATTATTTCTTTTACTACTTATCTTGAAATTATCTATGTATCTAATTTATTTTAATTAAAAATGTTGTCTGATGATATAATATGCTAAGGATCATTAGTGACCTGACCCACATGAACAATGTCACTAAACTTACTGCAGTAGTAATATGGCTTTCCCACATGTAAGACTAAAAGGTAGTTTGAAATAGTTTTACTACACAATATATTACAAAAGTAAAAAAACAAAAAACATACTAATTGTCAGATTACTATTGCCATTTACTACAACTGTGTAGTTGCAAGATTGATTCTTTCTTTTTCAATATATATGTAGCACTATCTTGCATATTTTAGCTTTTACTTACTAAGTTTTAGTAAAACTGAGTTTTAGCCTCTACTCTAGCCTAGGTAATATCAATCTCAATCTATATTATTATTATTACATATATTTGAAATTTTTTTATTTAATTATTAGTAAATTACTAAATTTATTGGATAACACTTGAACAGTTGAAACATTTACCAACATGAAGTGCTATAAAGCCTTCGTTCATCGTTTGTACTAATAATATGTATTTCAAATGCTTTCACTATAAAAATATCACTTTATCTTTTTTAAAGTTTATTGGCATAGTAAATAAAATACTCAATGTCTCGTCACTTCTGTTTGGGGTAAGCATATGCACCTAAATATTATTCTGCTTACAACTAAACTAGCGTGACATCTCGCGTGTATTAATTAAACTATAATTTTTACCAATGTTTAAGTGATTTTTTAAGATCCATCTTGAGGAAATACGCTGAAAAAATAAGATTTATGCGGTGAAAAACAGACATATGATACAAATGCTGTAAATAACCCATGCTCTCTCTCTTTAACTCCGATATTTAATAACAGAAGTTTCCTTTCCGCAGTAGACAGCCAACTGTAGAACATGATGCTCTCTTAAGGAAAGTTGAAATTTTAAATATAAATGTAAAATTTACTGAGGTCACTGTAGATAGTGCTATAGTATTTTGTTTATGCTTACATAAAATAAAATGGTATTATGATCAATGCAAGAACAATAATTAACAACGTACACCTACTAAGATTTTAAATACAATATAAGTAGTAGATAAATAGGGTTCTGGAACACCTCCAGAGAATCAATTATTATTATTATTTGTAATTAAGCACAAATATATACAAAACATACAAAAATAAAAAAAATAATTTGGAGAAGAAATCCAGATATATAGGAGGAATGCATGTATATATGTATTTTTTATATGTGGGATATGCGGGGAATCGAACTTATTAATGGGAATGTTAAACAACATTCATTCTAAATTCAACGATATTAGTTCTTTTATTATTTCTTCAATATATTTCTCGGTTAACTTTCTATTAAATCGATCAGGTAAAAATACCTGGAATTTGTTTATTAGCACAGCTAAAATTTTATCATCAAACTGAATTTTTTTTTTAAGTTTTGAGACAGAGTATTTATCTCCTGGGCTTAGTTCACCCAGCTTACTAGTTTCAATATTATATTACCAATAGCTTTTAACATTTTAATTGCTTCCATTTATTTAAATACTTTTTTATTAACCTAAGATGGAAATATTAAGGACTGATTCACTAGAGATGGTCCATAATCCCCATATATCTACTAATATGAAACATCCAACTTCGTAACTCTGAAGATCCAGCTTCACTCGCGTTTTATATTTTGTAACAAAATGATACAACAATCAACTAACAGCATAAATAATTATATTAACATGTGTATGTTGTTAAGAATTTTCAGAAAGGTGTTATGAGATAGTCATTTTTACTCATAATATACAAAACAACTAATCATATTATTTCTAACCAGTGTCGTATTTAGGTAGGGGCTAGAGGGGGCTCAGTCCCAGGGCCCATGGTCTTAATGGGGCCCACCAGAAGTGATTTATTTCCATTCAATCCAAATACTTTTATTCTATGTAAAAGTACACGGGATGTAGGGCCCACAGAAATTATTAGCCCCTGGGCTCACACAACCTTAATTCCGCCACTGCTTTTAACACGACTGACGTCAACTAATGAAGTTCAAACGATTAGTTAAATAGATATAGCCATTTTAGAGCATGAGATCCAGTCTGGTAAAAGAAACCAATGTTTTTCTTCAGTGTACTCTCGTGGTATAAAACAAAGTGATAACTTAATAATAATAGCTTGACTATTTTGTTCAACTTGCTCTTCTGAAGAGGAGGTACTCGTAATTTGCTTCTAATTACAAGAGAATTGAGATTAGTGATATTAGTAACCCATTATTTATTTCCATAGGATGAAAGAAGGGTATATCAGTAACTGGATGCAAACTAAGGGCCATCATAACAATTCTCTAAAAAAAAACTGGCCCGGCATGGCCAGGTGGTTAGAGCGCTCGACTCCCAATCTCCGGGTCGCGTGTTCGAATCCCCGATTCACCAAGCATATTCGCCCTTTCAGCCGTTGTTGCGTTATATGTGACGGTCAATCCCACTATTCTAGTCTTTCACTGCTAAATTAGGGACGGCTAGCGCAGATAGCATAATTAGAAGCATTGCGCGAAATTCAGAAACAACAATAATTAAAAAAAAAACAATTAGTTCTCACTTTTCTCAACGACGTACAGCATAAAGAAAAGTTAAATAATCCTGGCAGCAACCACCTTGGGATAATTCTTGATCACCATAACAAAATATAAAAATACAATAATTCTTTTATCACGAAAGTCACATTGTTATCAATAATTATTTAAAGAACTGTAAAACACCCGAAAATAACTTTTTGAAGTGTGGGAATAATTCAATAAATTAATACTATCAAATCTGGTACATCTATTGTACGACCAACTTTAAAATACAGTACGTGGATGACATCTTTATTATTTTGAAAAATAGTTCTCCTCGGAAGAGTTCTCTAATAAAGTCTTTCCACTGAGGTTTGTTGCTTTTGAGTTAGGGATGAATAAGCTGTAAGTCATACAAGCCAGGCAATAAAACTACGAAACAAATAAACTATATGTGAACAGGTAAACAGTTGAAATTGTGAATATCATTAAGTGAAGATATGGCAATAAATTGTGTAGTCAAAGGAAAAGAATATTAGGGCATTGTTCATTCTATTTCATAACTTTCAAAATTTTATTTTACTGTACGTTGATGACTTAGTTACAGTTAGTGTTAGGGTGGAGAAAATAACAGATAAAATATAAACTTTCATATCTAAAACTTTTGCTATTCATTTAGGAGGTTCTAGAGATTGTGCAAATGAAATGTTAATCTTGATCTAAGCCAGAAAAAGACAATAGTAGACTACCTACCATAATGCCTTTTTATCAGAACTCGGAGTTAAACTATATGGTATTTAGTACAATGTCTGACAGAAATTTATAATTCTTAGCAATAGAGCAGGTTGCAGAAATGTTATGCATGAACAAAGACAGAATAAGTAAAACAATTAACCAAACACAAGTAAACAAATACACAAAATATTTATTGACAAACATCCTGGCTGGCTTCGATATTTGTTATTATAAACTATCTTGCTGCTAGATCTGGATATAAAAGGCCTGTACAAAACGATGACAGAAATCTAACACGTAATTTTTATACGCTTTCAATTCAGGCCAATAGCATATATATAGTTGGTATCCTACAATGGCTTAGGTTACAACGTCAACGATCATTCCTATTATACAAAGAAAATAAATACGCAGCTCATACTAATTTGTGTAATTCTCTGTACAACTTGTCGAAATGAGCATGACCGCATTCCAGAGCTAAGCAAGTATTAGCCATATTGTGTAATTGTTGTGTTGTGTAACCTTGCTTTTCAAAGCTAAAGGATTATGAGGATTAACGCATATCCGCTTTACAGGAATGTTACTAACTGCTTGCAGAACAGCAGTTGAGGGAGTTATAGAATTTACCATAATATACCAAATAAATGTATAAATGAATAATTTTCTTGGTTATGGAAGTTAGCAGTTGGAATTCATGTCATATTTAAAAGAAACAACATTTTAAAAGATTAAACAAATCTAACGATTCTAAAAAATAAATGTGAAACCCAATCTATCATTTAAGTTACCACTTCACATTGAATTATACCAGTGTCGGGAAATTCTTCCTTCAATTCAGTAACCCTGAACAAGGGCAAATCAAAAGAATAAAACTAGGCTTCATATAGTAATGTAGTGTATATTATATGTATAGTGTCTTGAAATGTATTTTTCGCTCATTCACTCTGATTAAATAATTCTCTAGAATAAATTAATAGCATCTATGGTGCATAATCTTGACATTCCTATATACATTTGTTTGTTTGTAATTAAGGCACAAAGCTACACAATGGGCTATCTGTGCTCTGCCCACCACGGGTATCGAAACCCAGATTCTAGCGTTGTAAGTCCGCAGACATACCGCTGTGCCACTGGGGGGGCGTAAATATTTGTTTTTCTCTGTATTACATAAACATATTTTTTGTAATTACATTGAAAACATTTATTCATTTTGTAAGTATTTGTCTTTCTCTCTTTTAAGTACAATAAAAACAATTGATTACTTTGTAAGTATTTGCATAAGATAGTCGAACATCAAGTATTGGAAGTATTAAATGGTATGCCTGATCTATTAATACACATTTATTTTTAAAACTTGTTTAATATCCACAACATTCATATTTGAACTGATTTAGTTGCAATAAATGACCAATAATGTATAATGATCATCCAAGACCTTTGCAAGTTTCAATACCACCAAAATTGGAATATACAGTTTGGTATTGTGCAATGAAGAATGAGCACAAATTAATGTTTTTAATATATGATGAAATGAAAATACGAAGGTATCTTGTTAATGTTTTGAAGGATGTAGTTCACTAACGGTACAGTAACAATTCTGTAACTGGTAGTTTAAACTCTTATAAAGGGGAAGAGAAACATCCATGAGGAAAGCATCATTCCAAGAATTTCATCATAAAATCTATTAAAAACACCCCCAGAAGTAAACACTACAATACAGAATATGTACAGAGTTAGATTCAGGAAATGAACTGTTGAATGGCAACAGAAATCAAGTGGCCAGCTTTAAAAAGTTGCAGCCAAGATGATTTAATACCTCACACACGAACAAGGTCAAACATTTAACTTTTCCGAAAGGTCAAAAAAAATAAAGTAAAAGAACAAACTGAACTTTCAGGGGTTAAAGTTTTTGTATGGAAACATAAGCATGAGACATTATAATATGAAAGTGGGTGCAGGAAAAAACAGATAAACGAGGTGATCTATAACGGCATGAGGAGAATCTTTCTACTGTATGAATGAGAGACGGTCAAAACTGACAGTAAGAAGAAGGAGAACTATAACAACATAGTGATTTCTCTTGTGATGCCCATTGGAGGACATTTAACTGGATAAAAATCTAAAGATACTACCCTGCTGCTGTATTAGTAGTTAAAAGAGAAGAAAACAGCAGCCCAAAGCCCAAACTTCTGATGTTAACCCAAGTCAATATCTGTGACACTAATTGAAATATAGGTTAGTAACAACAGCTTTCAGAGATTTTACAATTTTATGCAAAAAAAAAGGAAATATCAGTTTAGTCTTAGAAAAAAAAAATGCACTGATAACATCCATATCTAGTCAATGTTATGAATTTAAGGATAAAGGTTAAAT